AGTCCAGCACCCTGACGCTGAGCTTCTGAACACACGTCAGGCCAGCACTTACATTGAGCTACTGAACACACTGCAGGCCAGCACCCCAGCACTAAGCTCCTGAACACACTGCAGGCCAGCACCCTAGCACTGAGCTCCTGAACACACTGCCTCATGGCTTAGGGCCCCACGGAGTCAGGCTGGGCACTGAGAACCCGCACAGCCAAGAGACCCTCTCACTCTCCTCCCTCGAGCTGCCCGTTTTCAAGCCTTCTCTTCAGAAGGCAGGCCGTGTGCAAGTACGAAAGGGTCCTGTATAGCCCTTCACACAGGGACCTGTGTAGCCAGGGTGACCATTCTCCCAAACCTGGAATCTTCCAAATCAACTCTCCACAGTTACTCATCATTCCCGACGGGTGGCCCTCGCACAGAATTTGGAAGGGACCTGGGCCCTACACCTGCACCTGTCCTGCTTTTGCAGACACGGCCCTAATCAGACGCTTGCCCTGGAGAGAAGACAGGTCGAGGAGCCCTGCTCCTGACACACACACACACACAGACACACAGACACACACACACACACACACACACACACACACGTCGTTACCTCCACTCCGCTGACACGGCCCTCCTGGAAGGAGCAGTTGGCCAGGTTGTTGGTGCAGATGTGCCGGTATTTGCACCAGTGGCAGGGGAAGGCACTGCTCACACACGACAGGCACCTGGGGAGACAGGGCAGGGTCACAGGCTGATCACCCCCCCCTTCAAGGACAGACACACAGACCCCAGGCAGCAAGCCCTCGGGTCCGAAGATCAACATGAAATAGACAGAGACTGGTAGATAAACACATGCAATAGGTCAAGTAGGGAGCTGCATCAGCATGCGTAGGCTGGAAAGGAACAAGTAAAGGTTTACTCGAGGCTGAAAAAAGAAGAAAATAAACAATATTTCAGCTGAGGAGCCTTCTTCAAGCTCGAAACGTTGTGTCTCTTCTCTTTTCTTTTCACATTGGAATAAATCTGTACTTGTTCCTTAACAGTACTCAATAGCCACCCTTCCTGAGTTTTGTTTGCTGAAAGCAGCGGTCCATCAGATACGTGGGGTGACAGGGAAGATGGGAGTTCCTGCAAATCCTCTTTCAGAGTTTACAGGTGTCTTGACTCGGGCCGCTGTCTAGTCGAGCTGTGGCTGAATAGCAATGCAAGCCAGGGAGCTCTGTATGCTTCCAGGAGCAATGCTGATGTGAAGACATAAACCGTAATAAAATTCAACGTATCAAGGCTTTTGCAGTAAAGCTTGTGTTTGGAACAATTTAAATGACTGTTCTGATGCACTGACAACGCCTCCTAATAAAAAAAAAGTGCAATTTCTTCGAGCGCCATACAAAACCTGTGCTCTTCAAGACAGGCCTTGTCATTGGCGTGGAAGTGGGACCTTTGAACGCTGAAACAGGGACAAGGTCAGACCCCATGTGAACAGCCTCTATCCCAGCGCTGACCGC